ATAACTTTAGTATTGTGAGCAAGTAGTATGAAGCATGCCGCTTAGGGTGCAAGTTATGCACCCTTGCCTTTCGTAACTTCTCTCTCCAAAGGGAATGAAATGAAGCATTTTCGTGAGTTACCCAAAAATTCGTGTTAACTGAAAATAAAATTTCCTTTAACTTAGTGGCTAATACATTCCATAATAAATATATAAACAAAAAAATGAATCACTTTCGAATTCTTACCAATTTGATGCTATTTCATTCAATTAATTCATACCCATTTATTAGTTACAAGATGTTGAACTGTAACTTTGGTGGAGTCGGTCTCGCCACAGCACCGAACGAATCATATACTACATACTACGTAGTAGGCCCGAGCCCCTTCTACTTTGCGTGTCGTATACCGTTTGTATTACTATGTTCTGGTACCTTTTATATATCATTAAAGTCTAATTAAGGAGGACTACTACGATTATTATACCGCCCTGTAAAGTGCTGGTATAAAAACCCTTAAAGTTTGATCCAGATAGATGGGATAACTCAGCAAAGAATACTAGTCCCTACGCTTATTTGCCATTTCTTAGAGGACCACGAACTTGTATTGGTTCGAAATTTGCTACAACCGAAATGAAATGCTTGCTGTCTCTACTATTCAATAATTTCTTATTTAAACCTTATCCAAATCAAGCGGTTGAAAGAAAATATCAATTTACAATGAGACCAGATCCTGCTTTGAAACTTATCGTTTCACCGGTGTTGCTATGATAATTATCGAATAATATTTCATTTTAAATGTAATTTTAATTGAGTGCTATTTAGCACGTTTCTTAAAATTTGAATTGAAATATTTAGGCGATGAAATTTGCGGTATATACGTTCATATATACGCGTCTATATAGAGAATATAATTTATGACCGGCATTCACATCAAGATGTTCATTTTCTAACATAAGGTTGAATATTCTAATTGGTGATCGCTGCTAATTTCTGTCACTGGTGATTAGTTTAATTTTCTTCATCTAAAAATACACATTAAAGAATACAGTAGAGATAGAAAAGATATTGCCTGTTTCAAAAATATATTTTTTACTAGACTCTTGGAAATTTATTCATTTTAGGGTACAATTGATAAATAACGCCTTGTGAACTAGGCTATTTTACGTTTAATAAGATTTGTAATAGCAAAGTACCGCAATATGCATCCTATAAATTAAGCTACTATCCTCCATTTTCTATTACATAGTGCGATAAATATCAGATTCAGTGAGTATTAAAGTCTAAAATCTACTCGCAATACATTCTGTACTGTATCTCGTCCAGTAACGTACATACTGTATCATTTCACTGCCAGTTTTAACTGACAAATTGAAAAATAGCTTGAGAATCTATTGCTTCAATTCAGCGTAAACAGGCACATAAAATTGTTAATTAGCACTCATTAATCAGTCATTGCAGATACCTGAGTATCAAACATTGTAAAGGTTGCAATCTCCAATCTGGTACTACTTTTTACACTGTTACTCAATGTTTTAAAAAATGTTTAATTTGGATAACAGTGTTATGAGTAGTTATAGATACTGTACCAAATAATTATCTAACTTAGTGTATGAGCCAACCTATTTGGCTTTAAGCTAAGGAGTAAAGTAGTCTTGAGTAGTGAAAACTTCAGATCTAAAGTAAGTTTGTTCTTGTCATTGACTTGCCAATTTTTGAACTAATTCATCTACATGTATCTTATCGTCGACACTTGCTGCTCGATTAAGTATGACTTGCAATACACCAGGAATGGGTATTCTGTTATTGCTGTCGATGATATCAAACGTATTATCAATCATAGCTGATAATCCACGAGAAGATTTGTCGCAATATAGATCATCTAGGGATCGATCATAGATGAATAGAAAAGTGTAAAAGTCCGCCAAGGCATCTGGTTTATTGTCCAATTCACAATATCGTTTTGGATCTTTAAAGATTTCCTTATATTCATGAACTTGTGGACTAAGCTGCAAGTATGCAGTGTACGGTATATCAAAGCAAGACAGGCCTAAGTTGTCGCATAAATTCGTTACAGAAGTATGGACCGATAAATCAAGGCATTCTTTAGGCGTCGGAATTAATGATTTAGTTTTACCTGTAGCATAGTTGAATAACGAAACATGCGTATTCGGTTTAAGGCAACTGTGTGATAAAACTGCGATACCATCGCTTGATAGTAAATCAGAACAGATTTTATCTAGAAGTTCTTTAAAGCGAGCCTGATCATGATGCGATGATATAAAATAATAACCACACTGCAATAGATATACTAACTTAAAGTCTTTTATACAACGATCTCCAGTTTGTGAGCCAAGAAGTAATCTCGTAATATCACATTTCATAACATCCGCATGCAAGACACGATAGTTATTTAACGGAATTATTTTAGCTTGTTTGGCCTTGTACAAATTATCTCCAGCTATTCCATTGGTAGAATTCAGTTTTTCGCAATCCTGTTTATGATCAATACTGTCGTTGTCAGCCAATCCAGTATAATCAGGGTTATTATCGACAGCGATTAAATCGATACCGGATTGAAATTGGATATTTCGTAGATATTTTACAATTCTATCCCCAGCTCCACAACAAATGTCAGCTATACGAATAGGATCGTCCTGATCACAATTTACTAATCCTTTCTCTTTTAAACCGTTGATTAAGGCTTGATGTAATAGTGCTTCTATTTCCATTTCATTACTTGCATTTTTAAAAGCGCTAAACGCTCTGTCGTATTCGAATACATGCGTTTTTATTATCGTTTTTTCCATCTTGCTTAACTAAGGAGCAACATTCATCCAGCTAAACTGTTCAATATTTGGCCTGTATTTATTTAGCCTTAAATGCTAATGGTTTAAACTGAATTGTTTTCATACGGAAACAATAGGTCTAAGAGCATCTGCGATAGCGGCTGCGCGAGTTAAAGGGTTAATATCTATCTGATCGGTGATAAATACATTCTATCAAGACTACAAGTGGAGCGTTGGCTTGGACGTTGTATGCATTAGCTAATAACCCTGCAGTTCAAGTTAAAGCGCGACAGGAAATTTTCAAGGTTGTACAGACAGGCGATAACATCACATGGGATACTTTTGATAAACTACCATATCTTGATAATGTTATCAAAGAGTCACTTAGGTAAAGAATCAATTATTTATGAAATTTTGAATATATTTTCTAAAATACTCATACTAAAGCAAGAAGTATAACTATGAAATAAATTCTATACATGATTATAATTATTACTTATACTAGTCTGACATTCCTTTGGCTTGCTACTTGATCTGTAGACTATATCCGCCAGTGCCATTGATTTTTCGACAAGCGATAGCTGACGATAAGATAGGAGAATATTTCATTCCCAAAGGATCTATAATTACAATTATACCACCTTATAGGTACGGTAACTTTAACGTGGATACTATAACTAGTATTATAAATTGTTTTGGAAAGTAATGTCGATGTTGCAGCTACGCTCCTAACTTATACGTTCATAAATGTTCGAATTTTCTATATTGTGCAATAATAATGAGATTAAAAAATAAGCGTAAAGATAGAAGTAGCCTTAACGCATACGAATAAATTGATATCTCGGTGAAAATATTACAGTGCTTCAAGTTAATGTAATAGCAAGTTTGAAAATTTGAAACTGTTTATATTCAAACTATTTTTAGGTTTCCTAGTTATTTTCAAGAACCCTTAAAGTTTGATCCAGATAGATGGGATAACTCAGCAAAGAATACTAGTTCCTACGCTTATTTGCCATTTCTTAGAGGACCACGAACTTGTATTGGTTCGAAATTTGC